CGCTACGAGAACTTTGGAAACACCTTTAATTTTGGAAACCTCTGAAACTATAGGATCAGGATCTTCACCAGCAACAAGGGCAATCACATTACCACCGAGTTTTGAAGCAGCTGTGAACGCATTTAATGTAGAACTCGCAATAGCTTTATTTTTGTGTTCGACGAGAAGCAAAGATGAAATGTCTTGAGCAGTTGCATAACCACGAAGACAAAGAATAGGTCGAATCTATTATAATTAATTAGAATTATTACCCTAAGCATTCAATTTGAATTTATTACGTAAATTAATTACCCCAGATAAGGTTCTTTTGTTAATGATCTGAGTAGATACTCTTCGTAGAGAAAACATTATGAAAAGTCGGGATATTGATTATCCCCCAGTTTCAATCAATGTGTTACATTTATCTATTTTCTTTAGATAACGATAATATGTAATCTAATCAGCGAAATTTCTTCTGTAACTTTTTTATCACATGACATAATTAAAATTTCTATTTATATGGGAAATCTAAATTTTGATACAGTCATGTGCTCAAAATTAGCTTAAACGGATGCAACATGGATCATATCATCATAAAAGCAAAGAAATTTTTTCACACGATTGATTTCTTAATAAAATGAGTAAAATGTCCAATAAAGCTGATCCATATGACTATATGGAAGGGTTCGGAAATCATTTTACTTCCGAAGCTTTGCAAGACGCATTACCAAAGGGTGCAAGTTTAACTTATTATAATTTTAATAGTCTCCTTTAAATATCAATTTTGAATTTATTTTTTCCCATAGGTCAGAATACCCCACAAAAATGTCCATACGGCCTTTACGCAGAACAGCTTTCAGGAACTGCGTTTACAGTAGACCGTAAAAATAATCAACGAAGGTACGGTATTAATTTTTTTTTTCAATGATCCATCCACCTTTTTATTGATTTCATTCTTTGTTCAGTTGGCTTTACCGAATTCGTCCCTCAGTTTGTCACCAACCATTTAAAAAACTCGATCCAAAAGATCATCATATCACAAACAAATTCAGTATAAGCGACGTTCATTATGTTCCAAATCAAACTCGCTGGAGTCCTTTTAATCTTTTATCAGTATCCAATGAAAAAATTTCAGATGATAAAAACATAAATTTTATTCATGGATTACATACACTCGCTGGTGCAGGTGATCCAATCACCAAAAATGGCTTGGCAATTCATATTTATTGTGCAAATGTAAATATGGATAACGTGGCCTTTTATAATTCTGATGGGGATTTTTTGATTGTTCCACAACATGGAAAACTTGATATCACCACAGAATTTGGTCGTTTGATGGTTTCTCCTAATGAAATAGTCGTTATTCCTCGTGGAATTCGATATGCCATTAACTTACCTGATGGTCCCAGGTAACCAATCATTATCAATTTTTTAATTCTTATTTTGACAATTTTTAAAATTATTTAAAAATAAATAAATTTGACTTATTATAAGCCGCGGGTATGTTCTTGAAGTCTTTGGTAATCACTTTGAATTGCCTGATCTTGGTCCGATAGGTAAGTCACGTGTTAATAATATTAACAAGATTATTATTATTTCGTAAATAAATAATCATTTGATTTATTTATTAACAGGAACGAACGGTCTGGCTAACTCACGCGATTTCATGACACCTGTGGCTTCATTTGAGGATAGAGAATGTGAATTTACGATAATTAACAAATATGTTGGACAACTGTTTATTGCTAAGCAGGTAAATTTAATTCCAAGTACTTGTTGTATTATAACTTCAAAGCGGGAGTATCACATTTATTTCATCGTAAAGGATCATTCGCCATTTAATGTGGTAGCTTGGCATGGAAATTACGTCCCGTATAAATACGATCTTGAGAAATTTAATACGATAAATTCTGTATCTTTTGATCATATAGTAAGTTCTTAACGATACGCAATGTCTGAAATTATTTCTCTTTTAAACTAATTAAATGTTTATTCGGTGTATTCTATGAATTGAAAAGGATCCATCCATATTTACAGTTCTTACGTCGAAATCTGCGTTTCCCGGTACTGCAATTGCAGATTTTGTAATTTTCCCACCTAGATGGGCTGTCCAAGAGCATACTGTAAGCAAATAACATTTTAGATGTTTAATTTTCATTTGAATTAATATATTAAATTTATATTATTATTATAAGTTCCGACCACCATACTTCCATCGCAATTGTATGTCTGAGTTTATGGGATTAATTTATGGTGCTTATGAAGCCAAAGCTGAAGGGTTTTTACCTGGTGGTGCTAGGTATAAAACTGGACTTATTGCTTATTTTTTTAACGTAAAATTTATAATTATTACTGATGTATTGTTTGTAGTCTTCATAGCATCATGACACCACACGGTCCTGATTCAGTTACTTTTGAAAGAGCATCTAATGAAGAACTTGAACCTGTTCGTGTAGCTGAAGGCACAATGGGTATGTTACAATTATGAAATAATTTCCCCGTCTTTCTAATAACATGGAACTGAAATTATGCCTATATTAATTAAATCAGCATTCATGTTTGAATCATCATTAATCCTTGGTATTACTGAATGGGGAATGTCTAACCAAGTACAAATTCAGCAAGATTACTGGAAATCGTGGCAAGGTTTGACAAGTCATTTTGATGCTAACAAAAAATAATTAAGATGTATAATTTATGCTTGCCAATATCCTATTTTAAGTTTAGTTATATTTTTATGTTCACATTTTTTTTAATAATGTAATTCATATGTAATTCTTGTTTTATGAAAAATTTTAATTTATTAATATTAAAGATTTAAAAATCAAATATTAATTGAATTAGCCATAGTGATTTAATATTAATTGCAAATTTTTTATTAAAGTTTTATCTAAGTTAAATCGCTTAATAAATATTCTTTAATGAATTTTTTTTTAAAAAAAAATAAAACTTATAATATTTATAAGAAAAAAATTTAGAATCAAAGTTTGAATTATTTGAATAAAAAGTAATTTTTTATAAAGTATCATATATTACTAATAATAAAATATCTATTTATAAAAAATCTTCAAATTAAAGTTTGTATTTATTATAAATTATTAAAAATAAAAAAAAATAAAATTATAATATATTTTAATTAAAAATAAAATTTGATATT